TTTTTTTTTTTTTTTTTTTGTTTTTTATATTGACAATGGTTCTGTGGATTTATAACATTTAACATTGATTACTGACTGAGTTATTTTTCCATAACACAATTTTTAACAGTTTTAGATGACTTTGAAAAAGGCAAAAAATTTATTTCTGTTAGGTATATCAAAAAGATGAATAAATAAGAAGTATTTTTCACTGGTCAGCAGACATTTTTAAATTTTTTATCGTTAATTTTCATATATTTTACTTTTCACATCCTTGTTGTTTCTTTTAGTATGTTCTATTAGTTTCTATTAAGATTTTTTTTTTTTCTGTTAATCAATTTTTACTCATTTTTTGCTACCTCGTTGTGTTTTTGTTACCTTTTTCATTGTAATACTTGGCGGGTGACTTTCGGCAAGTGAACAGTTCTGGAAAAAAAAAAAAAAAACAAAAAGAAAAGTAAAACCTTGGCCACATACAGTGCTTATGCTTTCGATATTTAAATGACACATTTTTTTTTTCGGGATGCTACTTACCACGGGAGTCAATTTCTGTCCGTCTATCGGCTTCGCCAAATTGGTTGTTGGCATTAACAGTTGTTAGTAGTAGTTTCATTTATTGGAATCTGGTCGACAAAGTCAGTGTCGTGTTTTTTGTTTTTTTTTCTGCTTTTTTTTTTTGAAAATAAAATTTCCTTGCTTTAGTGTAGAACGTTGCTAACCACTGGGCTCACTTTTTTTAACTGTCTTTCCGCTTTAGAAACTCTTTAACTGTTATTGAATTGAATTCAGTAGTGTCTTTCGCCTGCTTTCTTTTCCTTCTATTCTTCGTTATGATTGCGAAGCGGCTACAACTGATATTTTTTAGAAGATTAGCGGTTTTTTTCTGTCGGTCTCAAAAATTGTTTATCCGCAATTTTCATATTTTTTACTGGAGAAGTCATTACAAGTTGAATCGAGTGAGAACAACGTTTTCGATTTCATATTTTCATCTGCTCTTGTATCTCAAACTCTCATTCGGTGTCAAATCTGTCTACACATGTTCGTCTTTAGTTCTCAGTTGATCTCGCTTTAGCTTTGGAATTTGATGACAAGGGAAAGTAGCACAGTTTATATTCGAAAGGAATTTGGTTATCGGGGCTTGTGTGTATATGTGTATATATATATATATATATGTGTTCGGGATTTTATTCTTCCCTATCCTGTTTAAGAAGGTTGTTTAAGCTCGAAGGCATAAGCAGTATGTTAGCTCTGTTTGATACCTTGCCAAAAACACTGCGCAGTTAGAGAGAGACTGAAAAAACAAATTTGTTTCAAGGGGATTTTTATTTTGATTCTAGAAAATGTTGGTAAAAATCTTAAACATTGCTTGTTCAGTGCCGAAACTATCTAATGTCTTTTTAAATTTAACGTGCGTCAAATAAAAACTTTGTGTTATTGTTTTGTCGTGGCTTTTTAAACTTCCAAGAATGGGACATAACAATCTTTGACAGCGTGAAGTCGTACATGTTTTTTGATATCTCACATTCGTGGAAAGTGATAATTCATTTGCTGTTCTCTAACTTACGAAAAAAGCTGTTGAATATCAGATTTCGGACAGTTGATAAATGACTGTTTTGTTCGAAAGTGGTACTTCATTTTTAACTGGCGTTAAAGTGCTGCGTCAGTCAGAAGCACACTTCAACAAACCCAGTGGGCAATGCATAACGTTATGTGAATGTTTTTGAGTAAAAGTGATATGAGATTGGCCCTCCTATTCTTTCGGCAGTATTAGGACGCTTGACTGATGTTTTCGCCAAGCTCAGAATGGTCGAAATCTTTGGTGCTTGCGTTAACAGGCAGCTAGGAGCAAAAAAGTTTAGGGCCCAAAGTGCTCTTAGCAGAGGAGTTTCGAAGGTTTCATGTATACGTGTTACTTCCTGACAGTTGTACATGGTAATGAAGCTTGTCAGTGGGTAGGTGGCCTAATAACGAAAAGAAAAAAAAGTTAACGTCGATTGTAATAGGAGGCACGGTTTTTGGAATTGGAACGAGAACCGTGTTGTAACACTCCTTTTTGACTGCTCGCTTTAGAAGTCACTTCAGGTCGTGCCAAATTGTTGCAAATGAGCAGTGAAAAGCAAGTCCCCATTTTATTCACTGCCACGTTTCTACAGGGTTTGTAAATTTTCCGACTAAAATGCTGGAATACTAGGGATAGCAAAGTAACGTTGGCAGCTACTAAGGTTATTAAATTGTTCTGAAAGTATGGTAGGCGAAGTTGCGACAAGACTCCAAGGGCGATGTTGTCCGCAGGTGCGCAGCTCGTAACATTTACTCATCCCCGCTAATGCTTCAACTCGGACACGATATGAACTAGAGAATGCGCAGTCAAAGCATCACACAAAAAAAGAGAAGTGCAGTATTCGTAATTGAGTTTCACTAACGCAAAGACATAATACTAACAGTATTTTTAACGGAAATGCACAAAGGTGCAGGAACTACTTGTAAAAAACATTCAGACAGCAGGAAAAGATACAATTCCTTTTGGCTTTTATAATGCGTGCGAGTTATAACAGGACCCAGTTTCTGCTAACTTTGAATGTTTAGCAACAGGAGTAGCAATACATGTTCACTGCAGTACTTTTTCCGTCTGGATTTATTTCCGCGAGCCATCTGTAGGCTTCTCCTCTTAGAACTGACAGTACCAAAAGTTTGGTATTCCATTTTTGTCCTCATTTTAAAACATCAAATTAAAAGAAGAGTGCTTAGTAACGCGGAGAAGTGGAGCCAGAAAAACTGTAATCAATTTGTCCTACTGATATTGGCAATTAAAGAGAAATGTCGTTTTATGCCGACTCATCGAAGGGTTTTATCATTACTAGTTTCTCAAAAGAACTTATAAAAATTGCTCTACACTGGCTTTCAGATTTTTTGGAGAAGTCTTAATGATACAGTTATTGATCGAAGAAGGAATCATAACTTTTCGAATTTATATCACGAATTGCAAATGCAGTGGTGCAAATTCTTAGTACTGGAGAGACTCAAAAGCTCAGAATTTAATAAGCTCACAGAACTCATAACTGTAACTCTCCCAGTAATTAAAGATAGTAAGAAAAATCAGTGGGAATCAAATCGGCAGCAATCCTCAAAATCAGGAGTGAGGCATTTCCAATATATTTATAGCAGCAGTTAACCAAACCGTCATTCACACAGTGGATGAATTCAGCAAAATTAGGGCTTACAGAATCGTTTGAAGACAACGTCCAAACCAAACCCTTCTAAAACAGCCACTTTTTATTTACTGTAAGAAGCCAAAAAGTGAAAGTGAGGAAGACTCTTATCATCGTTTGCCAAATTTTGCATTTAGAGATAACAATTAAGAAACCACACAAATTTACATAATTTTATTTACAATTTAAAGTTTTCTTCTTAATTTTTTTGACTTATATCGGGAACGCTTAAAACATGCATATCAAGCACACAAGATTATTTATAAAACACGCTCTTACTCGTAGAAACAAGAATGAAAATAGCTAGCAATTAAGCCAAAGATAAGAATCCTACCAGTGAGAACGAAGTGACTAGAAGAACTAAGTACAGGAGAGCCTCAAAATTTGAGATATTCTGAAACTCCGACAGAAGACACTATTTTATAATGGTAATTGTGAAAAATTATATAAACACCAAAGCTGACGTGTTCGCCGAAAAGAGTATAATGAGTACTAAAAAAATAATGACCTCATTTTACTTAAAAGCATTAGGGAATGGAACTTACAATTTATGATGAAATCAATGACAATTCACAAGACATATAAACTTTATCCTCCAACATTACGCATTAAAATAAAGCCACATTGACCATGAGTCGTTTGTTTGTGCTTAATAGGTACAACTACGACGGCAAACAAATTTTCAAGTAAAGACGCAGACAGAACAAAGATACTTAAATAATCTTTTTAAAGGGGTGTCGGAAATCGAATTTAAACCGCACGAATTCAGTTCAAGTCAACTTCGCTTGCTGCAGATGGGTCCAACGATAAATCTGAGTTTCTGGTCCCACCACCCAATCTTTTTTCTTTCAACTTCTGTATTTGCGACTTTATTTCGGTTTCCACAGCAAGGATCTGTTCATTCTGCTGTTTTCGAATTTCTTTCAGATATTCTTCATGCTCCTTAAACATCAACATGCTTTGAAAAAGGGCGAAAAAAACAAATATATCTTCACTTACAAGATTTATTCGAATATTTCCTCAGAACAAAGAATTTTTGCTTTGAATGCTTATTTAATCAGGCTCTTGTCTGCAGTCACCCGCAATGGTGAAAATTTCTAAATCCTTCACCTGTTAGAAAATCTCTGAGCTAAATCAAAAAATATCTGAATACGCTGATTATGGTACTGCAATAAAAGTTCTTCATTCTTCTATTAGCTCCGCAATACTCTCGGACTTACAACCATAGAGAAAACTGAATGGAAGATGTAGCTGAGTCACATCAAAAACAGTCTCAAGCTGTACAAACTACAGGCAACGTCTCTCCAAGGCAGAAAATGTGCACTGCTCAGAAAAAATGAATGCTTACTACTAGTAACAATTATAAATTGACACTGTCCAATAATATAAGAAGAAAACAAAGAAAAGCTTTAATAACATCACCTTCCGCCACTGTGCTAATGTTTTTATGAAGATTTTAAAACCGAAAAAAATATCTACATGTTTTCTAAAGAAGCAAAAAATGCATTGTTTGCTATCGTCAAAAAAAGTGTTTTTTCATCTTTTTGAGGATTAAACCGTAAAACTTAAACAAACCTCTTTGTAAGAAGGATTCGTTAGCCCAACAATCGCATTTGACACACTTTTTATTTCACTGTTTAATCTACTTAACTCCTCTTCTGTCGTGGGAGTTTCAAAGGTTGCATCCGCAGCCTCGATAAGCTTAAAAAATATCAGTTTATACGGAATTATTTGAGAAACAAACTGCCAGAAACGGAAGGTCGGACCAAAAGAAGGAATCACTGTATAGATAGGAAAACGCTAACCACTTACTGCGTGACTTGCTCGAATCAAACCGTCAAACTCCTTGAAACGCTCATTTTTTTCAAAACTGTTGTAAATGCGTTGGTTTTCTTCCTTAATTATCGGTATGTGATCGAAAATTTGTTCACCAACAAGGTTCACTTCTTTAACAGCTTGTTCTAAAGACATCTAAAAATCTAACTTATAGCAGTACACTTACAACAGTTCGCTTTGTAATATTAGGCGCCTTTTACTGGACGTGTAAAAAAAACTAATAAAGTTGTGCAGGAATATCACGCTTAAAACACGATGAGCCCCTAAAGATCGTTGCATAAAATAAGCAGAAAAGTATCAGGTTTACAACGTCAATTCCGGGCAGCCGATTCGACAGACTTTTGTCCTTTCTGCTGGCAAAATTCCATTATGCTATTTTATTTTCAAAGGCATTTTTACTTCAGTGACAGGTGGGAACTATGGACGATATGGTGCGTACTTTTCTAATCAGCAAAATTCTTCATTTGAGTAAAGGTTTCGTAAAATTTGCTTACTGTTCCTGTACCTGATGGGAAGTCACTGTTAGACGGTTCTGAGGCTGCAATGTCATAAGGAAGAGATTCCGAGGAAAACCCCATAAATTTTTTTTTCGCATTTGTGGTAACCCTTTGCATATCCTGATATTTTTTTTTTAATGAGAACCAGAAATAATTTCTTTACCTGAATCAGTGGAAATTCATGAGAAATCCACAGCAGGCAACCTTTGTGGTATACGAGGTGAGAATTTATCGCGCTTTGCCGTTTGGTTATCTTCCAACTTTTGCTTATTGAAAAGTAGTGGTTATATGAGTTGCCCCTAAGCGTTGCATCGGCTTTTCCCTCTCCGTTCATGTCGGCATTTGTGTGGTTGATGCGCGGGAACTTCTCTGATTTCGTTCTAGATGAGAAAGTTTAACTGCAGAAGGAAACTGGGAACTTCACGTTTTAATTAGATATGTCAAAGTTCCACAAACACATTCTTTGGTTAATTGTAAGTTGCGTCTGAAACAGTGAAGAGTATGCTGTGTTTTTTTTGCATTACAATTTGACGGTTGTAGACAACGGAACAATAGCGTGACGACAATAAAGAGCAACTACCAGCTGCTTGAATAAATATGTCTATAAAGACTAAAGGGGAGCTCTTCTGAGTTTCAATTTTTTTTACTACTGGGAAAATGGGTGTTTAAAGCAAATACAGGAATACCTTGCTGTTCTCGCGCGAATTGCAGGGACTCCCTGTTTGCATGGTCGCCTGAAAAATTTTAAACTACCATACTGTAAATTTGAAACAGAAAGAGGGACTGAACTGCAGGAAATGAAAGTTTCAGTCTCATTCATTTAATTTAAGCGGCTAACATGCCGCTCATCCTGTTAAAGGAAAGCAACCACTGTAAAGGTGTACTGACTAAATTCTTCGTTTGGAGTTGATCATTTGTACCGGTTTTAAAATTAGAAATTTGGATCCATATAGCGAAGTTGCCCAAATATTGCTGAAACATAGAAAATACAGCAGGTTTCGCCGTTTTACTTCACTTTCCGCCCCTCAGTTTTTAAATGTTTTGAGGTTTTTTTTAACATCTAGCCTTACTGTTTGCATCAAAGGCAATTTCGTTTCGTATCTGTCTGTCGAGTTTTGTATGGCAAACAATAACCTAGTACAAGAAATGACTATTTTAAGCTAGATGACCCACATAACCGGACACATTTTTATCATCACCTAGGAAATAGCAAGTGTCACAGCTTCAATTTGTTTTGGTTGCTATAAGTTGTCACCGATTTTACTTGCAAAATCCTGAACTTTGAAGTTTCATTACGTTTTGCTATTTTCAAGCTGGGCTGAACGGCTGCTGTTGAAATATGGATAAGAAAACAGAATGGTCCTCAAAGGAGCACTCTAGTTACAGGAATTCGTATCCAGTTGCGGACTGGATAGAGTGAAGAGACAAAGTGTTTTGTGTGGTTACTGGGGGTACTGATTACTACCGCTAGCAGAGAAGCTGCAGCAGATTCCGTCAGGGTCTAAATGAAATTATAATCAAGCCAGATTAGTTCAGCGTTTAGATCATCATGACCCTCAAAAATAAGTTTTTTAGTTTTGTTTTTGAGGCTTTTATACGGAAAAGTTTTTTTCTGCTTTCCTTTTGAGTTCTCTAAATCAGCCGAAAAAGTCAATGCTACGGATTATTTTTCATTTTTTCCCTAGAATTTTCCAATAGTCTGTAACAGAAAAATGCACGCGTACATAAAAGAAAAAATCGTACTGATATCAAGCCGTCACCGCACATCCACGTATTACACCAGTTGCAAAAGTACATCAGTGGACCACTTCTGCTAGCTCCGCACGTGAACTAGAGCGCAATTTGACTTTACTTACATTTCATTTATTTTGAACTTTTAAGTTTCAAAATTACTACCCTGAAAACTCTAATAAACCGAAAACAATACGCCGGAAACATTGCCGGTTGTTAATCCTTTGCTTCGTAGGGACTTGCATTTTAATTTTTTGTTAGTACAGTATAATCTCTATTGGATATATCAGTTTCTTCTTCGGAATTGAAGTGGCAGATCTGTCAAAAGTCATATATTGGAATCTGTGATATAAGTTTCTGAAACACTATTAGATTTCTTAGTGGACTCCGATGCTGATAATGCATTTCCAACTTAAAGGGTTTAACGTGCACATTAGATCATATTTCACGGGCTTGCTTTAAAGAAAATGTAGACGCAGACTTCATCAATCCTCTCGACTGAAGCGTACCTTTGTTACAGTGTACAGGTAGGAGCTGCAGGTGCGCTTCTTGCAGAATGCAAAGTAGAAGAGTATAAAGTTTTTTTACTTTTATTTTTATTTTTTCTTGATGTCCCGCTTCCCGTATGAAAAAAAATTTTTTTGGACACGCTGGAAAAAGACAAAGAAATAAAAAGAGCTTCTTGAATGGATTAAACATTTAATTTTCATTCTGTTATCGAATGCAGATAGTGGTAAACGATTAGTATTCACCCTAGAAGAAGTATTTAAGTAATTGGGGGGAATCTTAGAAAAGTTGGGGATGGAAAGACGCTGCAAATTGGTCAGTAAGCGGGCATTCACTCGTTGAAAACAATACTATTTGCTGTTCTTTTGAGGCGTTTTTTGCGAACAAGAAAGGAGGAACTCTCCATCAAAAAGCTAAATGCGTGAATGAGTTGCGTGAAATGAGTTATTACAGGCGATGCTGTTGCAGCAGTTATTTGCGTCCACTCTCGAACACGCCTTTTTTGATCGTCAGCTTAACTTCATTTTTTGTACATAGGATTTTTGGTACCGCTCAATTTATTCTGTGGCAGTTTCAGGTTTGTCTATGTAGCTCTCGCTAACTTTTTAACAATCTAATGCTAGAATGTCGTTTCGATTTCTTTAACCATTTCATAGGGGGGCTTTTGTGTTATGGAGTGCTGAACAGTGCGCGCATTTTTTACCTGTACGGTTTTGGGTTCAACGCATCTGCAAGCCCTTTCTCGCTGTCCTGCAAGTGCTTCTGCCATTACAGCAGCGCTTACGGTTTACTGCCTATAAGAAGGAATGATTCTAAAATTTGCGTGTAAAGTAGATTTCACAACTGCTGATTAC